TTTATTTATATAATATAAATATAATATATATTAGTGCCACATCATCAAAAAAATTAAAAAATAATGCCACATAAAATTATTTAACTGCCACCTCATATTTAACTGACGGAGGGACCAAAACTGTGCAATTTTTAGAGTTAAAGGATCAAAAAAGTGCAAAAATTGTTAAGGGACCAAAAATGTGCAACTCACTAAAGTTGAGGGACCATATTTAGCATTTAACCTTTTTTTATTAAAAATATAAATATGTGGTGTTTTTATTTGCCCATGTAACCTAAATTGCAAGACATGTCATTGCCACATCATCAAAAAATTAAAAGAAAATGTTATTATAGAATTATTTAACTGTCACGTCATACTTAATTGACGGAAGGACCAAAGTTGTGCAATTCTTAAAGTTAAGGGATCTAAAAAATGTAAAAAATAGTTTAAGGACCAAAAAGTGTAACTCTATAAAATTGAGGGACCAAAATTAACATTTAACCATAAAATTACACCCGGGGGGGGTGAACGAAGAGGCGAGCATTTACCATGGCAAAACTTCTTGCGTAAGTAACTCGTTCAGGTTAGTCACGTGATAAGTATAAAATTTAAGGAAATTCATTTTATAATTTAAATTATATTATATTGTAATACAAAAATTATTGAATAAAAGAAGGATTTTTAGTATTAAGAAATTTATTTTTATTTAATAATTAACATAATGTAATTTATTATGATTTAAATTGCACTACATTTTTCTTAAAATCTAAATATTCATAGTACTAAGTATCAAGTATAGAGATCAATAATTGCTTATTTGACTTATTTAATCAATTTTATTATTTATACCTAGACCTTGTGACCTAATGGTTATACACTTGATTGTAAGGTGTATTCCTCAATCTTAAGATTAGGATTCGAATCCCACTTCCCCAAAAATTGTAACTTGTTAGAAGAAAATCAATTTTATTATTTATATTTGTATATTACTCTTGTCCTTTAATTACAAATTTATCTCAAATTAATTATAATTTTTTATGTTTCATAAATAGATAAACATTTTTTTCACTTTAACTATATTATTACCACATAGCTTCAATTATCAATGTATCACAAAATTTTTTTTTATTTTTTTCTATAGGAGAAATATAGATAAAAATATAAATTTATCTCAAATTCCTAATTCATAAATTTTTTTTTTAAAAAAAAGACTTTTTGTGGGACTAAAGAGTTAAAAAAAGTTTGAGTATATGTTAACATATACTCCAATTTTGTACTAAACTATATCATTATTTCTCATACAATTTGAATTTCTAGATTTCCTTTCAATTTCAATTAGGTTTCTTTATAGTAGCCATTTCCTTTTTTCATGCAAATTAAACACAAGTTTTCTTGTTCTACCCAAATCATCTCAAGCAAAGAAATTGAATACCCGTATAGTTTAGATTGTAACCAATTTTTACTGCTTTTTTTTTTTTTTCCAATGTGTAAATTTTTTTTGCCATCTTTGCATAGATTTGAGTTATTTAACATGCTATCCAAGTGAAGAATCTGTTAACCATCTCCATTTGGCACATCACCATTTACCATCCAATGACTCCTTGGATAGTAAAAATGTTAAGAATAACTAGTTGATTGGGAAAATTAATAGTTGGACTCCTTTTATAGTAAAACATGAAAAGTTCAGTTACTTATTAACTACTTTTGCCAACAAAAATCAATTGAATACTCCTTTACAAATTATGAAGATGGTGTCTGTCTTTTAAGAAAAACTCAAGATATAGTCATTAGGGATTTCATTCCCAGACTTGCGTGATAATCTCTGAATCTTCTGTATTAATATAATTTCTAGTTTTAGTTTTTCCTATTTAACCATTAACTTTTATAGTATATTTTTTCTTTTTCTTTTTTTTTGGCAAAATATTTTTTCTCGTAAGATGTTTAGTCAACAAGTTATTTTGCCATCTCAGCACAAAATTCCAATCTATAGACTGGTTAACTATCTTCATTAGCCACGTCACCATTTACCATCCAAATACTCCATGGGTAGTAAAAATGCAAAGTTCAAATAACATAAAGGGTTGACATCACGAGAATGCTCCTAACTTCAAGCCATAGTTGCCAAAGGTAAAGTATGCATTGTTCATATATTTGTTTTCTTTGATAATTTAGAAGTGTTGTTGATATATATATATATATATATATTGTTTGGCCATGATGCAAAAAGTTCCTAAAGCTAAGAAATCATCAAATACACCTCCTCCATAGCCAAGGATCAGTTTCAATGCCAAAGAGGCATTTTGTGGCCCATCTACGAAACAAGGCAAAAAAAAGGAGTGACAAGAAAATAATAATAATTAACAAAAGTTAATACCAATTTAGTTATTTATTTGCTTAATCCCTTTTTAATTTTCTATTTTGATCACATTATACATATTTGTTTGCTACATTTTTCTTTTTTTCTACTTAATACCAAATAGTTATTTGTCTATTAAATCCTTATTTAATTTTATGTTTACTCTATTTCTTCCCTTATTTTTTTTTTTTTTTTTTGTTAGGATTCTACTAGTGGTAGCCAAAAGAAACAAAAGAAAGGAGCACATGGTTCATAGATTGGTACAACTTCCTCTCAAGCTAGACAAAATTCTTGTACCATTTCTGTTTTCTTAACATAAGATAGTCAAAGTGCTAGAAATGAGTAATTATTTTACCTCTTTTTTTTTTTTAATTAAGTTAGTTCAGGCCAATGGTAATAGTGAGAACCATGATAGGAAATTTTGCTATTTTTGTGACTTTGAATAAGATATATATATTTTTTATCTCCTTTGGCTTCTAAAATATGGTCTTTTCATGCCTTGTCCAATTTTGTACTAAACTATATCATTATTTCTCATACAATTTGAATTTCTAGATTTCCTTCCAATTTCAATTAGGTTTCTTTATAGTAGCCATTTCCCTTTTTCATGCAAATTGAACACAAGTTTTCTTGTTCTACCCGGATGATCTCAACCAAAGAAATTGAATACCCGTATTGTTTAGATGTAACCAATTTTTACTGCTTTTTTATTTCAATGTGTAAATTTTTTTTGCCATCTCTTCATAGATTTGAGTTATTTAACATGTTATCTGAGTGAAGAATCTGTTAACCATCTCCATTTGCGATGTCACCATTTACCATCCAATGACTCCTTTGATAGTAAAAATGTTAAGAATAACTACTTGATTAGGAAAATTAATAGTTGGACTCCTTGCATAGTAAAACAAGAAAAGTTCAGCTACTTATTAACTACTTTTGCCAACATAAATCAATTGAATACTCCTTTACAAATTATGAAGATGGTGTCTGTCTTTTAAGAAAAACTCAAGATATAGTCATTAGGGATTTCATTCCCTAACTTGCACACTAATCTCTGAATCTTTTGTATTAATATAATTTCTAGTTTTAGTTTTTCCTTTTTTACCATTAACTTTTACAATGTATTTTTTCTTTTTCTTTTTTTTTTGGCAAAATATTTTTTCTCATAAGATGTTTAGTCAACAATTTATTTTGTCATCTCAGCATAAAATTCTAATCTACAGACTTGTTAACTATCTTCATTAACCACGTCACACATTTACCATCCAAATACTCCATGAATGCAAAGTTCAAATAACATAAAGGGTTGACATCACAAGAATGATCCTAACTTCAAGCCAGATGTAATATCTCAAAATTTTCTAGGACCTTAAAATTTAAGTTAGGGATTTATACGAGAGAAATTATTGTTGTGGGTCCAAATAACTAAAATTTTCAAACCTAAGGGGGGTTAGAAAAGAGAAATCTGGTGATTAAAAGGAGCTAAGGTCGGGCTTTTTTTACCTCCTTGCCTTTTCGTGTTTCCCTAGCTCTTCACCAGAAATTTTGCCTTCATGTTCCCTAGCTTGTGCCCAACCTCCTTTCGCCAAGAATAAGATGAGATTTAGCATTTCCTTCCTTCTCCTAGCAAGGGCTAGAGATTAATAGGCTTATGATTCTCAAAATCATGAACAAAATTCCAAATTTGGGCTACTGTATCCTCCAATTTGTTGATATGTTTTGGGTTGCTGGCCATAGTAAGAAATCACCAATTTCCAGCACTTTTAGATAAGAAATCAACTATATTACTCATCTTTCCATCCTTGATTTGAGTTAGGTTATGTTTAATCCTTTAGGGTTTTCAATTTTGAGAGTGTTTCTGTGGTTCTCCTTGATTTTGTCCCTGATTTAGCACAACCAAAAAACTAATTTCTTTTCTTGCTGCAAATACTGGCAGCATGACCTTTCTATAGTGTTTTGAAAATAAGTCTTTTTGTAGTTATCAGATTAAGTCCATTTTTAATTCTATGGAAAGCTAAGAGATAGCCCTACAACTTTTATGTTGGATATTTAACCCGGTTAAGCTGTTTTCATGGTGAAAAATCTGCTGCAAGTCTGATTCCCGCAGGCAGACTTAATTGGCAGCCCAACCGTATGTTAGTATTTTAGCCATAACTATCTCTGTAGATGTTGGATTAAAGTAATTCTTGGTGCTATAGAACGCTAAGACATAGGGCTACAATTTATCTATTGACCACTCAATCCAGATCAGTCAATTTCTGGACGTGAATTCTATTGAAACTTCCAACACAAAATCTGACTAGAACTTGATAGAAATTTGCTCTCTTTTTAATTTTATTCCCACTTTATATGCTGCTACATTGCATCAT